ATAGGGGGATTTGGGGAGTTTACTCTAGTATAGGGTAGCAAAATTCAGCTGAACTAGCTTTGGTATAGGCCAAGGGTTCCAGGGTCCCAGCGGCACACCCCCACCCAGACATTCCCGAAGTACCGCCCCCAGGGGGAGGAGCGGCCGAACATTCGATTGATGTTGGCGAAAAACCCATTTGTCGGTTGAGCTTTCAATTTTTGAGTCCGCAGGAGTCCGCATGTTATTAAAAGGCGCAGTAATGCTCGCGATACACGATATATGTAGAAGTGTCATCAAAAATGCACTTTTCTCTCGGCTATTATGATTTTTAGAGACACCGTGAGGGTAACAATGAGAGAGAGGTTTTGAGGTTCTGTGCCGGATGCGACTATAACACCTTTAATATAATGCCTATCGCATTTTAGGACAATCATGTTCAAGCCCCACACCCTCCTTTGACTCCCACAATAAGAGTGCATGTCCGATTAGTTAGCTTTATGTCTCCCGAGCCGGAGAAATCAAAGACAAACTAGTTTTATGGCCAATAATTCTGGTGTCGTCAGAAAAAAGAGGGAAGGGTACTATTCCTATAAGCACAAAGTGAGAAATCGTCCTCTCAGCATCTACACGCGCTTTGATATGGACGTTCTATGGAAAGTTTCTTAGCCCCATCTTTTGATTTTCTTCATTTTATTCATGGGTCGACCATTGTGTCTTTTATGAAAAACGAACGGCTGATAACGGGAAAGAAAAAAGTGAATTTCAGGTCCATATCCGCAAAACATAGTTCCATTTAAGAGTGTCGTGTTCATTCAAGTTCCTTTGACGAATGCACTATCCAGCTATCAACCGGTAAGTGTTCGTTGTTGTTGTTGTTTTTAAAATTCCGGTACATAGCCCTCAAGCTCCCAGTAGTCTTGGCAATAGTAAAAGATTCAGTTGCCATTAAACGGCAAACGGAATCTTACGACTTCCGTCTACTGCAAGTGCTACGTCTGCGGCAGAAATTATTCAAGGAACTTGTCAGGATGACGGCTACGGTTAATTTGTGCAGAACGCCATTATTTACTTTTGGAGTCTCGCAATTCTTGAGAATTAA